AAAAAATGAATTCATAGAGAGTTCGTAAAAAATATGAGAGATTCTAAATTTCCAGTCCCAAGTCGATTCGTTGTTTCGATACTGCAGAGAAAAGCGTTTTTGAATGATGAAAAGGATCAAAATTGAATTGGATACGGTGCTAGATCTTCTATCGCTTAGACTTACATGAAATTTGCACTGAAGTTGAAGTGTGATCCATTTATCCTTTGTTTGGTAACTTCGTGATTGAGAAACTTGTGTGGATGATCGATGACCAGGAAGCAAAAAAGAATTCGAATTATTAAGTTTTAGATAAGACTTGATGAAAGAAAATTGGAATTATTAGAAAAGACGAGCGATGAGCTGGGTGAGTGTGGAAATAATTCGTCGATAAATGAACTTGACAGCCGAAAGGACTAAAGGTCTCGAGAAAGGTTCGTCTGGCTGCCAAGATACGACTATCGAGTGCTCGAATTGAAAGTTTTCCACTCGATTTCACGCAGCAGTCAGAATGAGAAGCTGATTTCGATGAAAAAAATCTAAGGGTCTCGGCGAAGGTGGCGAGTGGAAAAGTACTCTAGTTTCATGTAGGTTAAGGAATTTCCTATATCTGAGAAATGCCCTGTTGGTGCGCGAAATCTGTCAAATTCTTATCAGCGAACTCGACAATTGAACAAAATTTTCGAAAGTTTGGAAAAATTTGCATAAAACTCGTTATTTTTGTCGCAATTCCGTCCGTTTTGTGGCTACTTATAGAAATTCTATTTTTGAATTTTTTTTAAATCGTGTATAGAGTGAAAGTTATTTGCGTAACTCATCGCCTATTCACGAGTGTTTTAATTGATAAGGATTTCACAAATTGAATACGTTGTACTATTCGGGTATCTAACGAATGTAATTAATTTTTATCATCGTGTACGAAGACCATGTTTTCTTTTTTTAGCCGAAAGTAGACTACACTTGTCTGGCACCTATATGTTTTTAGTGTATGACCCTGATAACGAGTGAATATGGAAATTTATGAGACAAAGGAGTTCCCGTGCTTATTTCACGAAGAATTTATTTATAGATTTCGTCAAAGTGCACAGAAAACGGATGAAATGGCTCGAAATATTGAATAATTTATAATTTGTATGCGTTATAAAAAGGTGCTGCTGTTTGTGTGCGAAGACATTTCGGATGAGAAAAATTGGAAATCGATATTTACAGTCCATATCAGCCAATATTGAATATTTTGATCGTGAATGCATCTGTTCGCTAATTCCTGATAAATTTCAGCTTTTTCATAATTTCTGTCATGGTCATCGGCAAATTTTCGAGTCTAAGTACCTTTCTGCCAGATTATATTTTCGAAAATTCTTATTTTCTACAATAGTGTTCATGAAAATTCGTTTGTTTTCATAAGCTAAAAATATTTTTTTTCCATCCCACACTTCCTTTCGTTTGACTTTTTTTCTGCGATTCATTTAGATTTTCTCACAGATGATTCAGGATTTGAATTTTTTTTTAAGACTTATAAGTACCAGGTGGTGTCATATTTGACAGTGAGCGAAAAATTAAGTGATACTCCTCAAAAGAACAGGTGGTGTCTTATATGACACCACTTGGTCTTTTGAGTAATGCCACAACACCTGGTAGTTCCAGTGTTGAATATCAAAATTTCATTGAATTTCCCAGTTATCCTCCAAATTTTTGAATCCGTCTTTTTTTGTGTGTGTTAGGTGAAATTCACGATGAAATTGAACTTACTACTTTGGCTGATACATCTGCACGTCTGACAGCATTGTGTTGGAATAAGGATTGACCACAAATACAATTTTTTGGATTCGAATCCTTGTCAAATTTTAGATTCAAATCCGAATTATAAATCAGTATTTTGAAAAGTGGATTCGAATCCATTGGTTGAATGGATGGATTCGAATCCGACAAATACGAATCCACCAATCCTTCGTGTAAGAGGATCTGCAATATAGGAGTTGATTTACAGGGACATTGATTTTGATTCCAATGTTCCAACCAAGCCAAATGAAAGCATTCAATAGGAATATACAGATTAATCTCATCAGTTTTGTAGGAGATTTAATAGCAACCAAGCCATTTCCACTCACTTAGACCAAGAGGGGTACTTTTTTGGAGTAATTCTCTTTGAAAATTATTCCTGCAAGTGATTTTCATTATGCCACGGGACACTGAACTCAATAATTTATGAAACCATCTAGGATGTCTCAAATTAGTTTATACATAATGTAATTTCAAGCGTTTCTTCACAAAACATTTTCCATTTCAACCAAGTAGGCTAATAAGGTCTATTTGAGAACATTTTACATGAATTTTTCTAATAGTGGCAAGGTGAAGGAATCACTCCGAGATAATTTCGCTCGAAAATTTCTTTTTGAGCGAGCATTGAAAAAAATGTCGTGTATGACATCACCTGGGCGTGTGAGGCATGTCTCTCGAAATTTCCCTCGGTGTCATATATGACGCCACCTGGTCTTTTAAGGCATGTCTCTCAAATTTTCCCTCAGTGTCATATATGACACCACCTGGTCTTTTGAGACATGTCTCTCAAAATTTTCCCTCAGTGTCGTATTATGACACCACCTGGTACTGTCAGTGTTGAAAGCTTAACATTGATAATCACTTATTAGTGTCTGCTCTCCTGATACGAATATAATATTTTAGTCATCGTCAATTTACTTTGATCTTCAATTTAGCTGAGATCTATAAATTTCATCGTTTTCATATCATTTTACAAGTTATTTCTGCGTAACCATGAAAGGATCTGTTGGTTCCAGAGTCAGAGACCAATTGGTCTTCGAGTCAAGTGCCAGTTAGACCTCGTGTCAGGGACCAATTAGACCTCAGGTTAGGGACCAGATGGTAATTTTCTTGTGGACCAGCTGGTCTTTTAGTTTGAAACCAGCTATCCTACTCTCGTTGACTAATTGGTGCTCGAGTCCAGGGTAACAGATTTAATTTTCCTGAGTGGTGCATGTTGCAAAATTAATTATTGATTTGAACAAATCGGTGAATGAATTCGAATCGTTGCACAATATGGTTATATTTTTTAATTTCGAATCACGAATCCGAATCCATTTTAAGAGAGAATGGAGTCGAATCTATTCGCCAAATCACAAAAATGAATATTCGAATTACAGTCAGCCTTGGTTGGGAAGCTTTCATTTTTTCCGGTAAGGTGTCTGCGTGTATCACAACTTATTACGTGTGGGTGGTAAACCGATCCTTCCAGGAAAACGATTCCAAATGACGACCGGAATTTTTCTGAAAATCTCGAGCTTTACGAACGTATTTTTTTGTAGAATCGCCACATTCGTACTCGAGTGTCGTCCTTCTATTCGAGTGCTCTTACGCTTTTTTCCTTAACCCACGTGCTCTCGCAGATTTCGTATTGTCGTACGCGAAAAAACGGCGAACTGCTGCCGCACATCAACAAGGTCGGCTCGTTCGACGTCGAATGCACGAAATTCTACTCGGGCGAGATTCTGGTCGCCCTCGAGTACCTGCACAACATGAACGTGATCCACCGCGACCTCAAGCCGGAGAACATACTGCTGGACGAGAACTGCACATCATGATCACCGACTTCGGCTCGGCCAAGATGTTCAAGCCGCCGGTAGACCGTAGCAGGGCTCGCAACGGCGCCGCGGCGTCAACGGCTGCAACGACGACGACGACGAGGATGAGCCGCGTCGCCGCAAAAAACAGCTTCGTCGCACCGCCCAGTACGTGTCGCCGGAGCTGCTGACCGACAAGCCGTCACGCCGAGCTCCGACCTGTGGGCCTTCGGCTGCATCATCTACCAAATGATCTCCGCTCTGCCGCCTTCAGATCGAGGTAAGCCCATTTTAGAAGGTTTTCCAAAGGAAAATCTCCTATTAGATTGGTCTGATTAGAGCAATAGAGGTGGGGACATGCATAGTTTTTCATTTCATGACCTCCTGATTCCAAAAATACCCATCTCGCAATTTGGTGCATCTTATTTATTTATTTATTTATTTATTTATTTATTTATGTTTGTTTATGGGGGGTGTATTAATTCGCGGATTTTTGGGATCAAATCTAAATAATAGAGGAACCAAACGACCAATATCGATGAAATTCATACTGAACATGTAAAAAATGTCAGAGAATTCAATTTTTTAAGTCCCAGGTCGATATCTTCTCTAGTTGCTGAGAAAATTCGTTTTAATCGATGAAAATCATCAAAAATTGATTGCTCTTCGCTGCAGGATCTCCTATCGCATGGAATTGCACAAAATTTTAATGGAAGGTCAAGTGTGGCCTAATTAAGGTCTGATATAAGTTTTGTGATGATCGGTTTTGTGGTTGCTGAGAAATTAGCAAAAACGTTTTGAATTTTGGATGATTTTGATTAATTCCGTTTGGCTGATAACTGACAGACCAAACGACCAATAGAGATGAAATTCATATTGAACATGTAAATGAGGTCGGAGAATTCAATTTTTCATCCCCCAAATCTCTATCTTGTATAGTTGCTGAGAAAAGTGTCAAATTCTGTGAAAAACATCGAAAATTCATTGGGATTTTTTGCAGAATTACGGAAAACCTTCTCCTCTACCGCAGGCACTGCGGGAGAATTTTCTACTTATTTTTTTTCATTTCTACTTAGTGCAATAATTTTTTCAATGTTGATGATATATCTTTACTAATGTCATTGTTGAGACTTGTGTAATTAAAAAACTTTCATTTTTAATTTGTGCTTTTTTACTATTTCGGTTTTATATTCTCGCAGGCATACATAATATAATTTGAACAGGTCTCATTCGATGGTCTTTCGATAAGAAACTTGTGTCTTTCCAATATGAACTTCGAAAGCAAGTTACACTGCATGCGTTAAAATTCTGCTGTGAAGGTTCAGGATATGGTCATAAATAAGAAAAAATGTTAGGTATCTTGATAAGTACAAGTAAAAAATTTTTTTGAATCAACATCTGCATTATGTGGTTTAAAAATAAAGTTTGTAAGTAAGTTAAATTATTATTCACTTAAAAAAATCAACTTTGGGAAAAGAGCTGATTTTATGAAAAAATTCTGATATTTGAATATAGAATTTTTCTCCAAGAAAATTAGAATTTTTTCAATCTTCATGGTATTACGTAATGCAATAGTCAATTCTCTTTGAAAAAAATCTCTTGAAATGGCCTACTAAGATTTTTTATTTTACTCGGGAAAAACGAAAATTTTCATCTTTCTCTTGCAATAAAATTTTTACATTTTTTTTTCAAAAAAGATCGACTATTATATCACATGATGCAAAAATTAAATCGAGAATGAAGTCCATTTTCATGAGATAAAACTCCAATTTAAAAATTAAAAATTAGAATTTCTTCTGTTAACAAAAAAACGTAAATGTTTAGTTTTTTCCAACTCTAAAATTTTTATCAATAATTTTTGGCCGATTTTTTGCTCTGATTTTTGATACTAGTGAACGACACTGGGTTTGCCACAGATAGTAAGAAAGGGAGGTTTTAAACTATCACAGTTTTGAATGAAAAAATTTTCAGAAATTACAAACCGATCGACTTGAAAAGAATTGATTTTCTTCCTACTTGGATCAACCGGAGAGTAGGCAACCTATTGTACAATGTAACTTATGTTGCCTTATATATTTGAGGAGCGCACTTTCAAAGTGACTTAACTGCAAAAACGTGAATTTTGAGTTAGGGACAGAATCTTGTAGTAAGAGGCACCCTCCATCGAATTATCCAAGTTCCAACATCAAAGGAAAGTTATTAAGGGATGAAAATCAAAATATGTAAAAATTCGATATTACTTTCAAAAAGACCTAAATGCAAGATTACTTTCAAAGTGACCTCAGTGCAAAATTACTTTCAAAGTGACCTATTGGAAAAATAACACAGTAATTTATATTACTTGCAAAGTGACCTAAATTCAAAATTACTTACAAAGTGACCTAAATGCAAAATTACTTGCAAAGTGACCTAAGTGTCATGTTTTTATTTTTTGAGGCCCCCTGAGGCAAAACTGAGCACATTATTTGAAAGGTGTTCAAGGTGATTGGGTGCAGAAGAGTTGGCTAAACCAATTCCAGAAAAAATTACCCTCCCAAGTCCTTTTGAAAACGAATGACACGTTTTTCTCATTTTACTCAAAATCTTTTTTTTTGCACTTAGGCCACTTTGAAAGTAAGCTCCTCATTTGTACTTCGTGGTGAGGTGGTACAACCTGCATTTGTACAG